ACAAAATAAGACTTCAAAACCTCAAGGACCTTATAAAGAGATCCATATGCCTAAAAACACAGGCATTGGATTTTACATCGGTGTCTTAAGTTTTGTGCTTGGTTTTGCAATGGTATGGCATATGTTTTTGATTGCAGGGCTGTCATTTATCGGAATTATTGCTTGTTTAATCGCACGATTGCGTAATAAACATCCTGATTATCATGTCTCAATAGAAGAGATACAGCGTATAGAAGGAGGAGGGAATTAATATGTCAAACCCAGCTGTCAATATCCAGGATGAACGCTTTCCTGATACCCATAGAGGAGTATACTCGAAAACAATTTTCGGATTTTGGGTTTACCTTTTGTCGGACTTTATGTTGTTTGCGACGCTTTTCGCAGCCTACGCTGTGTTGCGTAACGCAACCTACGGAGGGCCAACAGCCAAAGACCTTTTCAATATTCACTATACGCTGATACAGACAGTGGTCTTGCTTTGTGCAAGCTTAACTGCAGGAATGGGGGGCGTATTCGCCCATAAACGCCGCAAGATTCCCACGATTATCTGTTTTACTCTCACGTTTATTGTTGGATTAGTTTTTATGGCAATGGAGTGGGGGGAGTTTACACACTTGATTGCAAGCGGTAGCGGATGGCAAAGAAGTGCGTTTTTATCATCGTATTTTACTGTTGTGGGAACACACGGGCTTCATGTGATATTTGCGCTTCTTTGGGTGATTGTCCTTTTGCCTCCAGTTTTTAAAGATGGCCTAAATCCTGTGAATATTCGCCGCTTAACGTGCTTAAGAATGTTTTGGCAATTTTTAAACGTGGTTTGGATTTTTATTTTTACAATTATTTATTTGATGGGGGTCTATTAATATGATGGACGAAAATCACAGGTGGAACACGAATTTAAAACCTCAAATATCAGGGTTTGTTGTTTCGCTGTTTTTGACACTCATTACCTATGTGATCGTGATTCAACATGGAATCTCAGGACATTTGCTGACATCATTGGTAATCGTGTTTGCTGTTGCTCAAGCTCAAGTTCAATTGATCTTATTCATGCAGCT